GCTATCGGCTGGAATACGAGGTGGGTGGGGGTATATGATAATTAAAAAGAACAGGGATGTGGGTGTGGGTGTAGGCGTGGGCGTGGGCGTGGGTGTGGGCGTGGGCGTGGGCGTGGGCGTGGGCGCGGTTGCGGGCGTGGGCGTGGGCGCGGGAGCGGGCGCGGGTGTTGGTGTGGGTGCGCTTGTGTGTGCGTGGCTCTCGCGGACGCGGTGGCCCACCTCATCGGCAGGAGAGACAAACACATCCCCACTGGGGGCCGCTGGGCGGCCCACATCGGTGACGAACTCGTCGCAAACTCACGTCTGGACCCACGAAAGGAAGAAACACAACTACTGGCTTCGTTTCTTCGACGTGCAGGTGCATGCAGACCAGGGATGGGTGACTTGTGCGATTACGTACCGCGGTACTCTCACAGCACACGCACACACAAACGGTCGGCATCGGGCATGCGCCGATCCGCTAACAAGGGGGGCGAGTCCCCCAGCACCGCTCCACCCACACAGGAGCTCGATTGGTAGCCCTTTGAGGGCGTTTTGCGCCGTGAGGGCCGATCCCTTGCTGGCCATGTGCCAGGATGGGATTGGGTACAAGCCAACGTTGAGCGCAGGGATGCAATCCGGCGGGCAACGAGTCATGAGGCGGCCACACCGCCCACCAGTCGATCAGGGTGACGCGCAGACGAGAGAGGCCCCGACGCACAGAGCCGCCCATGTGGGAACCAGCACCAGGCGACGCGAACACGAAGCCGAAACTCGCTGCGTTAATTACGTATTTCCGGCGAGACACCAGTGCGGAGCGGGGCGCGCCCGATTGGAAGTCGATGTGGGACCGGTGGACAGACAACCACCGCCAATCGGACAGATTTGTTGCGGCGGTCAAGGACCCTTGGTTACTTAGCTTTGTGCAGATAGGGGCTTTCAAGTCAAGTCAACTCAAGTCACCCCGCTCGCGCGAGGGCGGGCCCATATAGGGCGCGAGGGAAAAATCAAATGCCAGTCACTATTCAGGCCTGGTGCGCAAAGGAAGCATCGCGCCTGCTCACGTCGACGTGCAGAAGTCCAGGAAATCTTTTGTTATTTCCACCCATGCTGAGTAATATTGTGCAGCTTTTTGCCACGGTCCGATGTGGTTCGCCTGGCAGAACGAGGATAGCTTCGCGTCCCATGACAGAAGAGGACGACCCTGTGAGCGTGATCCCGACGGCGTCCAATGCAAGGCTCTCTGCACCCACCGATCAGGAGGTAAACTCGCAACGTATGCTGCCAGATCCCAATACCAGATAGGGGCTTTCATCAATGCCAATCATCTTCATGCGGAGTACTGGGGGTGAAGCGCCAATCCAATGATTCGGGCGGCCTTTCCCTGGCGGCGCGGGAGTTATGAGAGGGATAGGACCCCCCACGGCAGCAGCCAGTCCAATGCCGAGCGCGAACGTCGCCGGTAGCCTTGCGTTCTCAAGCGCAGCAGGGCGCGGAGCTTGCACTCTTTACGTTGGCCTCCCCTGTCCTCGCAGAGTTGGAGGCAGCCGATCACGATCGATGGCTTGTGCGACCGTGCATGCATTGCGGCTCCGAGGCCTTCAACTGCTGTGCGGGCGTAGTTTGAGGAGACCGCCAGCCGCGCACCGCCCATCTTTCCAGGGAGATGCGCATCTGCTATGCCGCGGATCTCGCCCCATCCGAACAGTGGCTGCTAAGGCAGAGGACGCCAGTTCAAGCGCGCGCCTTGCTCGCAGGAGTCTTGGTTGGGCCTGTTCTCCAATTATCACTTATTCCCATCGCGGCGTCTCGCAGCGTATCATTGCCAGGGTCGAGGTAGCGCACATCAGGTGACGGCAGCTCCTCTACGAAGCTGGTCCAAGGACTTTGGTGCGTCCATGCGTGGACTGTGGCCTGGCCGTGACGGCACGGTGCGACGGCTGGCCAGGCCATCGGGGGGATGCAATGCGAAGGTTGGCGATGTCTTTCTTGCTGTTGTACACGTCGCTTTCGCCCATGTCGCCCGCCCATATGTCGGCTGGAGGGACTGCGAGGCCGGCAGGACACCCGAGGGCGACATCGCGCTGCGAAAGGAGGCGCGAGCAGGTCTGAGGCTACGGCATGCTCTGCATATATGTGATTTGAGGGCTACCTGCACCCATGCTTGGCGCGGCTCAGCTGGCGGGAGTGGCCCCCTCGCTCCGCGCAGTTTCCTCCTCCCCTCCACTCTCTTCTCTGCGCGCCGCAGCGGGTCTTTGCCGGGGCCTTTTTGCGGCGCCGTGACATCGCCGCGCGCCGCTCTCTGCCTTTGCCCCCACTCCGCGCGGTGTCCGCCAGTGCTGTAGGCTCGTTCTTCGCGCCCTATAAGTGCCTCGTGGCCTGCCCCGCGGAACAGTTGGCTGGCCATGCCGTGCTGGCGTCGCGTGCCTTTAAGCGGCGAGGACCTGTCGGCCGCCTCGCAGTCGTGTGCCCAGGAGATGTATATTTTCGGTGTTCGCCCGGGCCTTGCCTGCGCCGCCCATGTCTATGTCCGAACTACTGGCCTCCTAGCGCCCCGCTCGGGCTGGGCGATTTTTTTCTGTCGCCCGTCGGTTCTCGGGGCCTGGGATCGGCCATGCCGCCTCGCAGCCCGCGCCTCGACGCGACGCGGGTTGTGGGCCGGCTTGGCCGCGGCGCGCATCTATCTGGCGTGTTCCACGGGTTTTTGCATTGGGTCTGTTCTCTTCAGCGTCCTGCTGCGCCGCGCTGCTTCCAGTTGGGCCGACGTCTCTACGTCCTTGCCGCCCTAGGCGGGGTGGTTTTTTGGTCGCCTGGCTGGATTGTATATCCGGGGCATCTCTGGGGCGTCGGCAGGACGCCGCGTTGCGCGCGCTGGCCGGGGCGCTGGTTTTCTCCCCGGGGGTGCGCTTGGCAAAGTCCACAGGCGCCTCTCGTACTCGGCGCCTTTTTCCGTCTGTCTGCTTTACCGGCGGCGGTTTTGCCGCCCTGGTGCTTGCTTCCTGGCGCGGCGCGGGCCTGCGTGGCCGCGGCCTGTTTCAGGTTTGTTTCCTGGCGTCGCGCCTGGGTGTTCGCGCCCCCGCCTGGGGCTGCAGCTGCATGTTTTATTAAACGCAGTTTCATATTGCTTGTAATCAATATTGTGCCGCCCCTCTCTCACCTCGCCCTTTCCTCCGCCCTCGTCGGCGTTGCCGCCGCTGGAGTTTCGGCTCGGGGATTTCCAGCGAGATCTACGAGCACTCAAGATTTTGCACGGCGCCGCGGGAGGGTCAGAGCATCTCGCTGCGCGGCGGCACTACGAAGTTCTGGTGGTACGGCGTGGCCGCGGCCCTCGGGTGGAACGCCCCGGACCTGGCCGACGAGGGCCGCCCCTTCTGGGCGGCGGCGGGGGGGGGCCCCATGACCGCGGCTAGGTCGACTACGAAGAGGCGGGCGAGATCGTCGCGAGAGGGTCGAAGGCGTCTGTCCTGATGGCGCCGTGGGCGAGGTGGAACGTAATCAACTGCAAGACGGGGCCCTCGCAGGGGGTCGCGATGCCGTTGGCGTCGCGGGTCGGCAAGACGAGCAGTGCTGCGTGGGCTGCGTGCGACCCGACCTTGAGGGGCCAAGTCATCAATGTCGGTGGCGAAGAGCGGATCGTCGCCAAGCCTGTCAAAGAGCTGACCTGGACGGGGCATCCTGGGCTGAGCGCGGCGAGCAGGGGCAAGGCGTCGACGGCTTCGGAGCGACCCATTGCTCGACGCGAACTAGAGGCTGAGGATGCGAAGAGATCGGCGCCAGTCAAAGGCAATATGCCCATGAAGAAGAAGAAGCCGAGCAAGAATACCGACCTGTTCGACTGGCTGAAGAGCGGGGTGATGCACGCGTTCAGTTCTTTTTGGCTGCGGTGCTCTGCAGGGGGCTCCGTGGCGCCCCTGCTCTGGAGGGCGTGGAAGTTCGTCGGCTCGGGTTCGGTGCTGCGGGCGGTGTGCGACTCCGTCCTGGCGGCGGGGGAGTCGTCGGAGGGCGAGCGCGATTGGCGCGAGGAGGCCGAGGAGATGTACGAGTAAGGCGAGCTCAAGCAGATAGGGGTGACGATCGGAGCCGGCTCGGCGGCGATTTACCGCGGCTACCTGATTATGAGCATGGGCGTCGGCCTGCCCAGGCTCTGGAGCAACGGCGACAGCGACGGCGAGAGCGAGAAGTCGGACGGGGAGTCCGCGGCGGCGGCTTCCGTGGCTGACTCGGACGACCAGCCTGATTCAAGGCACCTGTTCGCGGAGCTGGCTCGTGGGCAGAACATCCCGCAGGCGTCGGTCGCCTCCCTAGCGGACGTGGTGAGCAAGGTAGGCAGCGCAGCGCCGGTGGCGGATCCCACGACGCTTCGGAAGGGTCTCAGCTTCGACAGCGACGGTGACGAGGCCGAGGCGCGCGCCGCGCCGACGGATGCGCAGGTGTGCGGTTTTCTGCGGAAGTTGCAGGGGCATGATGAGACGATGACGGCGGACTCGGCGGCGGCGACAAAAAGGTGCATCGGCTCCGACGACTCCGACTTCGGGGTCTCGCACGAGTTGAGGGGGGGCCTCATCGCCTGGTATTTCTAGCGTTGGAGAAACGACCTCGCAGCTGGAGACAGGCGCGCAATCCCAAGGGCGGGCTGTTGGCTGCGCTGGAGTCCCACCGTGACTTAGGAGGTGCTCGTGTTGGAAGGGTGCGTGCGAAGGTGGCCCCCGCTGTCCTCGCCCGCTTGTACAAGAGTGGGCAAGGTGCCCGAGCGGAGCTGGAGGACTGGCTGCGCTCGAAGGAGCTGACAAAGTGCTCGATCGCGTCGAAGGCCTACATGCTTGCAGCAGTTTTGGACAGGATGCTGATGCGCGGGAAGTTTGACGCGCTGGTCAATTCACAGGCGGCGGAGCTCACGTGCCTCCGGGTCTACTCGATCTTCAGGGCCTACGAGAATATGGAGGTTGAGCCGGATTGGCGTCGCCCCAAGTCCGCCGACGGTCCAGAGTGGAGGAGCAAGGTCAAGTGGGGCTACGCCGAGGAGTACGTGGACCTGAACAAGTCGACGAGGCCTGATGTTTTGGCGGCGGACGAAGAGGTTGCTGAGCGTTTGAAGCAGAAGGCCGCCATCACCAAGCACCTTTCTTTCGGTGGAGGTGCGTCGGTGCATGCAGGCGCGGGCGGATGGGCCGCGGCAGGGGCGTTAGCGGCTCCTCCTTGCCAAGCCGACGCCAAAGGCGTAAGTCCGCGTAGTTTCCTCTTCCGTGGGTTCAGTGATGGTCGGTCGGCCACGAGCGGGAGGGGCTTCGTGCAGGTGTTCTCGGGCTTGGGGTAATTCAGCGTCTTGTTCCTGGCACTTTCTGGGCATCTTGTACATCAGGGGCGAAGCGGGCAATCGGGCGAGCATCTCTCATCGGGGCCATGGCGTCCAGCTGTCTTCGGGCACCTGCAGCGGAGTTTGGTGAACGTCAGCGGGACTTTCTTCGGGGCCTTTCTTTCCCTCCGTTGGGGCGGCGGGAGCCTTGGGCGCGAAGTTGTCGGAGGCAGAGCAGAGGGTAACGCGGGGGAGATAGTGGCGCGCCATAGCGCCGAACCGGCGCCTGGCCCGCGGTCGCGCCCGCGCGGCGGAGGAGCGGCGGCCCGCGGCTGCGACCTCGCAGGAGGTCATGGTCTTCAGCCGCACTACTGCAGCGGACGGGCATCAACGAGCTGCGGGGGCTGCTGGCGGAGCGAGCCAGCTGGGGCGGCATCGACGATGGCAGGGCGATTCTCAGCCGCCTTGGGAAAGGGCAGTTGATGGGCTACGGCGCGTCGCGTCGGAGAAGACGAAGAAGGGTACTGGGGCGGTGAAGAAGGGCGACGCGTGCGATTTGATAGCGGATCAGGTCCCCGTGCCGAAGGTCGGGGCGAGGGGCCTCGAATTACGACGGATTTCGCCGACGGCGCGCCCCTGCCTCGACAACGTGGATGGGGCCCATGCTGAGGTGCGACGACGAGGTGGGCTGGGGCACGTGCCAGCAGACGACGAGCGACAGCGACCCTGGGTGGAAGGTGAAGTCGGCGGTCGCATCGGTTGGCCCTTGCGCTCTGCTCAGCGACGTCGACGAGGTGCGGGCGTACGTGGGGTTCTTTACGGAGGTGAAGAACCTGGGTGGGTGGGTGGGGGGGTGGGGGGGGGGGCAGGCGGACATCAGGGCCTCGCGGCTGGTCTGGGACCGTCGGCGTCTCAACCGTCGGCTTAGGAAGTCACCGTGGACAGGCCTAGGTTCACCGAGTCCTTTGGTTTTGCTGGACCTGTCGCCCGAGGCGGTGGGGGAGGAGGGGCTTTTCTCTCTTGCGGCAGGCGTCCCAGACTGGTTCTACAGACTGAGGTGGACGGACAGACTGGCATAATAGTGCGTGTTGGAAGGTGCGTTGCCGAGCGAGCTGCGGGGCTGCGCGAAGTCCCGGGGGGAGGACGTGCCACCGCCTCCCGAGGGGGCAGTGGGCGTGGGCGCGATCGTGCCCGTGATGGGGCACTCGTGGGCCGTGTTCCTGGCGCCCTCGTGCTTTGCGGACTCGATCAAGGAAGTGAAGGGCCACGACCTGGGAGAGCTTGCTTATGGGAGACCTACGCCGTCATTCGAGGTGTGCCAGCTGATCCTGATGCTGCGCATCGACGACTACATAGGGCTCAGGCTGCTGGACCCGCTGACGGACGACATCGAGGTCGACAAGGAGATGCTCAAGAAGGTCCTGGTCGAGAAGGGTCTGGAGGTTCACAAAGAGGACTGGGCCTCCTGGGCTTCTAAGGGGACTCGGTATCACGGTGAAGGGTCGCCACTATCAGGTGGCGGTCCACCCAGACAAGCTGGGGGGCCTGGTGCTGGCGACGGAGGCGCTGGTGGTGACGCCGTTCGTGACGCCAGCGGGGCTTTCTTCGCTGCTGGGTATGCGGACCTGGGCGCTCATGATATGACGTTTGGGGTTCTCCATCCTGGATGCGATCTACAGGTGGACCAACGAGCGGGACGAGTACTGGGAGGAGGTCCTGCCACTCACGACGGGTGTGATCTCGGAGCTCGTGGCCCTGGCCAGCCTCTCGGTGCACTTTACGTCGAACTTGGGGGCGGTGTGGGCGACGAGGGCATGCATGGCAGATGCGCCGGGGGTTGGGTACGGGGCCGTCGTGACCGATGTGACCCCAACGAGTGCCGGGTGGGGGTGGCGAAGGGCGACCTGCAGACTTGGACCGTCAGGGCCCAGGAGGCCTTCGCGGCGGCGGAGGACGAGGTGGAGCTCGAGGGCGAGGAGGACGACGAGGTCGCGGGGCCACCAGCGCGTCGGCCAGGTCCTCTGGAGTTGGCGAGCGGGGTCGAGCGGATCAGCGACGACGTGCTGGCGGGGCTCTTCCACAGGGAGGGGCTGGTCTGTACGGCGGTGGTGACTTGTCGCGCGGATCTCGACTACCTCTGGAACGACCTGACCAAGCTCGACGGGATCTTAACTTTCCAGGCGGCTGGGGAAGAGTACGTCACGACGCTGATCACAAACGACGGCCGTTTGGGGGTGCTTCAGCGCGAGAAGGTGTGCGATGTGGAGCGTGGAGGCTACGAGTTTCCGGTTGGGTCGAGCTGGAGGTCTACCTACTGCGAGGTGGCGGGGAAGATCGAGCCGCGCTGTGGCATGATCGTGGGCGGCGCTCAGGCGAGGCTCGAGAGTGGCACCCTCGAGGTGCGCGGGCAAACTTTGCCAGCGTCGTCGCGGTGGGCGCCGGAGGGTCGCTGGTCGTTGCTTATCATGGGCCGGTGGCGAAGGGGGGGCGCAACGACATCCTGGGGTTGAGGGCGACTGTGACGCTGCTAGGACACATGTTACGCTCGAGGAACCTGTGGGGCAAGCGGGTGCTGATGTTTTCCGACTCGGTGGCCGCTATGGGTGCGTTGGCGGAGGGGCGCTCATCGGCGTCTGGTTTGTTGCACCTGGCACGGCAGGCGGCAGCGGTGATCTCAGTCTTCGGGAGCAAGTTTTCCTTGAGATGGGTGGAGTCGGAGGACAACGTGGCGGACGGGCCAAGCAGGGCCCTGGACATCGGCGCGGCGGAGGCGACGAAGGAGGAGCACATTTGGGGACATACACCAAGCGCGGTGCGCGGATTTTTCGGTGGGCAAGCGAAGGTTCCCACGTCGCCTTTGCCGCCTTCGTGAGTCGGGTCTCTGGGCAGTGTCTGGTCGCTCCTGCCGACTGCGGCTGCCACGGCGGCGACGGGGTGTCCTCCGAGGACGTGGACTACGGGGAGCTGTACATCACGCTGGAGCGGGTGGCCTCGGCTCGGAGCACGCGCTCCAAGCCGTCTTGGAGTTGGCTTTTGGTGTTAGGTGGGTGCTGGCACGGAGTTGGCGCAGTCAGGGTTGCCTCCAGGCCGCCGCCACTACAGACGGAAAGAGCTCGGGCTTGGGAGAATGCGCCGTGCATGGTGCTAGCGTAGTTCAACAGGCTGGCCACGCGCGCGATGGGCGACAAGACGAACGTGGCATGCGAGAAGGCAGTGAGAGTTTTTGATCGATGCGAAGAGGCTGAGCGTCCCGTTCCGTTCGGTTTATCTTCGCGATGAAGCATTGGCCTCTTTCTTATCGGACGCGTGCTTTGTAGGGCGGCTCGGCTGCGCGCGAGGCAGCCTGCTGTTCGACGGGTTCGCGCGCATCTTCAAGGGCCACATGAACTTTCCCCCCTTGTCGGCTCGCGCGCTGAAGGCGCGGGAATGGCGGCGGCAAGGGCGGGGGGGGGGGGGGCGATGCCCCTTGAGGCCCTCGGCTTCATCATCCTGGACCTCTGCCATGCCAGCTGTGTGCTCGAGGCCTGGGCGGCTGGCCTCGTGAGCAGGATTGGGCCCAACGACGGAAAAGCGGCGCGTTTGTGGGCGCTGCGTGGACGGGCGCGCGGCGACGAGGTCGGATGGCGCCAATATTGGGAGATAGATCGAGAGGCGAGAAGGTGAAGACGGGCTCGGGCCAAGGCGTCGAGGCGCTGATGGAGTTGACGATGCGCGCGCCGCGCGCCCTTTCGGAGGGTCTCAAGGACGACGACC